ATTTCTGTGAATTATTCTTATCATCATCATTAGTATCATTAAGAAATAATAATAATAATAATAATAATGCCTCCAAATGATTACCTGAATTTTACCTGAATTTACTGAATTTAATTTAATTATATACTAATTATAATAATAAATTGCATTGATGCATGCATCAATATTTGATGAGAAAATCATCTAAATCCTCTAAATATTACATTATTGTTGCAGACATTATAATTAGTGACTATATTAATTGTGTACAAAAATGTAAAAAAAAATTGATGGATTATTATATTATTGTATTAATATTATGATCATAATAAAAATAATAATACAAACTTTTAGTACAAAAACAGATAAAACAGATACTGCTTAGAGAAAATGTAAATCTGGCTTGGAACGATGTTTGTGAGCACTTAATCTAAATCCCTCTCTCTGTGTATGCTGGCTGTTGTGCAGCTGTCCATTGCCATGTGCTGGGCTGTGCCGAGTCGGGTGGCACTGAAAGTGGGAGTGTGCCGTGCTCGTACCCTTGCGGTGGTGACGGATGGCTCAGGGCCAGGAACACTGCTCCTCTCCCAGGCAGATAAAAGAAGCCCCACAAATCAGCGGAGGCCTCAGGAGTGATGGGCAGGCTGGCTGCTCATTGCGGGAATCAGGTGTAAATTCAGTCATTAGATTGCTTCCAGAAACAGCATGCATAAATAAAGGCAGGGCACGTGGAGGAGACACGGCGGATCCTCACTCTCTTACTCTCACTGCTGCTGCCGTCAGGGCCAGCATGGGGCAGCATGTAGGGGGTGGCTGCTCTCCGCTGCTAAACTGATTCATCACTCGCTTTCTGACTTTCCTCTTTATTTCTCTCTATTGCATTCAGTACTTTCGATAGTTAAAGTTCTTAAAGTTCAACATAACACAGAGTGTTGCTGCTTAATAGTCTATAGGTAAAAGATACAAGAATGTTAATCATGTTAATCAGTTTTACAGTTCAAAATATACTCCGCCATTACTTAGTTACACTAATTTTAGGGATATTTATTATTTATAATTCACCACATGAAATGTTTAAATTATTTATATTAAGGTCCTAAAACAAATTATTAAAATAAAACAAAAATAAATAAAAATAAAATTATTATAATAGGGATGCACCGATACCGATATCGGTATCGGGCCCGATACTGGTCTCCTGTACTCATAATCGTACTCGTTAAAATGCCCCGATACCAAACGCCGATACCACACAGCATGTGATAAGCGCCATAATCAGACAATGAAACACCGACAACAGAACAACAGACAGCAGAATGGAGTTGTCTACTACGAAGGATGTCTACTACGAAGTATATGTATGCAATGAATATAACGTTAAACATTCAGTATTAATGCCTGTATAGCTGATGTGCGCGAGCTGATAAACAAAACGCGCTGAGTGGACTGAAAGATGATGTACCATAGAGCAAAAAAACGAACAGTGAAAGTAACAAAAACTTGTAAAATACATTTTAATGGGCATAATTAAGTGTGAAAATAACCAAAGGATATACAGCGAAACCAAAAATTATTCAGAGACCAGGGCGAGTACTGGAAAAAGTGGTATCGGTGCATCCCTAATTATTACACTACAATTCAAAAGTTTTAGGTCTATAAGATTTTTTAATGTTTTTGAAGGATGCCTCTTATGCTCATAAAGGATGCATTTATTTGATAAGAAATACAGTAAAAACTGAAAAACATTATTACAATTTAAAATAATTTTTTTCTATTTTAATATATTTTAAAATGAAATGTATTCCTGTGATGGTAAAACTGAATATCCAGCAGTCATTACTCCAGTCTTCAGTGTCACACGATCCTTCAGAAATCCTTCTAATATGCTGACGTGGTGCTCAAGGGACATTTCTTATTATTATGAGTGTTAAAAAAAACAGTTGCTTAACATCTTTGTGGAAACAATAAATTTTTTTCAGAATTCTTTGATAAATAGAAAGTTCAAGAGAACAGCATTTATTTGAAACAATTTTTTTGTAACAATGTAAAAGTATAAGTCACCTTAGACCTTTTTTAATGCAAACTTGCTTAATATTTTTTCTTAAAAAAAAAAAACCATACTGACCCCAAACCTTTGAAAAGTAGTGTATTTGTAATACCTGTGACATTATAAGCCATCTCCCCTTCTGTATGTGTGTGGATGACTCCAACGGTGCTCTGATTGATGCGGTACTCTCGGATGATACCGTTCGGTTTGGCCGGAACTACCCAGCTGATCCTTAGGGCCCTGGGCCCCAGCACGCTCACCACCGGAGCAGCAATTCCCTCTGGCTCCCCCTGGACAGTCACTGCCACGACCTGCACACACACCAAAAAGAATTACAGAGCAATTTGCCCTAATGGAGGCTTGGATATCCTGCTCTAATAGAATGTCACTAGTGGTTTCAACTCTTGTCTTTAGGAGTGGCAGACTATTAGGAAAGGGCTGCAAGAAGTGGTTAAGGGTTTTTTTTTTCCGGCTACGTGTAGGCTGGCCCGGCGCTGGCCTGATGTGCTTGTGAGCCTGCAGAGTGTTCACAAAGATTAAATCAGGTTCCTCATTCCCACCGACAGAGCTGGCTGAGCAGGGTCCAGCTGAGTGGCAACAGGGTGCCCCGTGGTAATTGCTCCCCTTGTATTGGGTCGGACAATTATTGCAATTGTTTGGGCAATGCTTGCAGGTGTACAAGTTAATCCTGCTCCACTTAAAAACGATTGTGCGATGGGGAAGAAGAAAGAAGTACTGGATCATTGGTGGCCAATTGGTGTGCCGGGAAAGACCCCGAAGGTGTGTGGAAAGAAAAATGGACCTAACACTGCTCTGGGATGTTCTTTGTACTTTGCCTCTAGCAGATCTGTGTGGTTATTGATAATCGGATCCTAAATTAGACATAAAAAGAGAAGATAGACAGGTTAATTTGCTCTTTCATCAGCTGAGCCGCTGACAGCTATTACAAGGAGACAACAATTATGGCAGGAAGTCAGCTGTTGCTCTGCTTCCATTAGCCTGCCATTAGAAATATCCTGTTTACTTGGCACTAGCGACATAACATTGGAATGAAAGAGGGAGTACGACTCCTGCAATCCTTTACAAGTGTTTTGTTGCTCTTAGACAATGCTCGTAATACTTGCTGGTAGGACTATAACAAAGACCAAGGACAATAGGAAAATATGCAGTGATTGTAAATGTGCACCATTTTTCCACTTGAAAAGTACCTTCGACAAACATGTTTAAAGTCATTTATACTCATAACTAGTGATCGACCGATATAGATTTTTTATAACCGATACCAATTTTTTGCATGTTTATGTGCCCGATAACCGATATGCAGAACCGATATTTATTTACTGTTATAAAGTAAATAAATGACTGAGTGAAGTAAGAACTTTTCAGTCATCTTTTTTTTTTTTTTTTAGTGTTGAAAATTAGCAGTCTTTCATGTTAAAATTAATCTTCATACTACACCAATAAAAAAACATTTTATTTATAAAAAGCATCAACAGCAACAACACTAATATTAACAATAAGAAAAATAAATGTCTAATGTTTTCAAATGGAGAAAATAAATAAAGGACAGGAGTCATATCAACTTCATTTTAAACTACAGTTTTAGTAGGTTAACAAGCTGTTTAATAGCTACAGAGTCAAGAATAATTCACTGGATAATGTTAATTCACTGAATAATATTCTCTGGAATATTGAAATATAACAAACAAAACATCGTATTTTATTGCATTTCTCAAAGAGAGAACTAAATTCTGCGCTTTTATTTCCAACATGCGCTTATTCATGGCTGTATTATTTAACTCATGCAAAGTTACGTCTTTATTGGGAGAGGATCTTGATGGATTATCTACGTGACTCCGACTTCACGAGACTAATGATGAGCAGACAACAGAGAGAGAATTAAATTCAGCGCTTTTATTTCCAAAATGCACTCATTCATGGATGCATATTTAATTCAGGCAAAGTTACGTCTTTATTGGGACAGGACTTGACGGATTATTTTACATGACTCCGTGAGTTGGTCTCTATTTCTTAGAGCCAAGCTGCATAAACATATCAGGCATTTATGTAATGCATCTAATTTGTGCATAAATGGCTGTTATGTTAAATAAAGTTTACTAACTACAGCAAATCAAGTACCTGCACCATGCCGTTGTTGTTGTCTCGTCTCCCCTCAGATGCGCTGCAATGGCGATCTTGCGGGCAATTCTCAAAACACCCACAAGATGGCGGCATTTATCGGTGAATCCGATATTACAAAACCGATATCCGATTATGGTAAAATGCTTACATATCGGGAAACATATATCTATATATCGGTCGATCTCTACTCATAACAGATGTTAAATATTTTTTCCTGTCCCAGTTTAATGAGCAGAAACAAAGTCATTTGTAGAATTCTTTCCACATAAAGTGTAACACTGTGTCTTTTTGGTGGTATAGTATATGTTACACAAACGTTGAACCAATGTTATACCATTGGTTGAGACAATGTTGCTGTGTCAGACCAGAGCATCCCTACCAGCCCGACACAGCAATATTGTCTCAACCGATAGTGTACGTTTGGGGAGGGATTGTTTATTTGGTCAACAGATGGTAGGTTGTGTTTGGGAAACCTGTATGGAAACAGTCATTATTGCTGCAATACCATTTGGCACCAGTAGAAGAACAGAAATAATATACTTTACCACTGTATTGTGCATGATTTTCTGCCTACAAGGATTAAGATGAGAGGCAGATGAGAAACAGACTCACTTTTGAGCTGTCTGTGCAGCCGGCAGCAGTACAGGCTCTGAGCTGGTACACATACTCCTGAAAAGGTCGGATTCCTCCCGCATCAGTGAAGCTATGATCAGTGCCACGGTAGCGCTCCTGTCCATCACGCAGGATCACATAGTAACTTATCTCACCTATCATAGTACAAAAAACACACAGGGTCAAAAAGTAGCTTCAACACATATTCCACTCAGTACAATAGTGAAACCGGTGGACTAACTTTCTTTCAAAATCACAACAGATTGGGTGGCAATGCCGTTTGATTAGCACACAGAGTGAAGTCCTAATGAGCAATCAGCATGTTTCTTTACATATTAAGTGGCACAGAAGTTCCCTAAAATGAAGCTTGTTATTCTCACTTAGTGTTTATGCGCATGTGAATTTCATTCTTCATAAATTATTCTACCAAGCTATGCAGATTACGCTTAATAACAGGCAGGTCTTCAGAGGAGTGATGATAAAACAATCAGCTAGTTCCACTCTGTCATATCATTACAGCCTGAAGAAAAAGCCTGTTTCCAGTTTGTTGGGGAAAATGTGAGTAAATCTTCTGAGAGTCACGACTTCAGGCGTGGATTACCCAAACTGATTCACTCCGTGATTAATCATTTACATAACCAAACCTTCTACTGAATAAACGTATGACAATATTACCATGACAGCAAGAAACCACAAAAATGATGTGCTCTGATTTGAGGGGAAAAAAGAAGTCCAACTATGTAGGATTATTAATTCAAAAAGTTTGTAACTATAAAGACATAAAATTTCCAAGAGGTTCAGTGTCTGTCTATAGTTCCTGGCAAAGGTTCAAACAATCACAAACTACACTGTTTTAGTAGCCAGTGTACCCTGTATGGCTATGAAATGTGCATTTTAGTTACTTGCTATACATTTCCAAGCTGGAAACAATAACGCTTTGTAAAAGGAAGAAATAATAAATCCCAATTCTTAGCAATCAATTGACATTTACAATATCTGTAAACTGGTGTCATCAGGACCTCAAATCAATCTAATAAATTAAATGTATATTTTACTTTATATATTAGAATATATTGTAACTAAAATATATATCTTTATGAAATTAGAACAGACTGGTTTCATCAGGACCTCAAATCATTCTCAAATTCATTTATATATAATATTACATTGTAAATAAATTCACATATTTAAAGGACAACGGATTGGTTTCACTCTGCTACAGAGGGATGTAATATAAGTCAAGCACCACCTTTATGAGATAATTACCATTTGGCTTGTTAGGGGCTGACCATTCAAGCTGGATGATGTCATCACGCAGACCCACATGGCTCCATTGAGGAGGAGACACAACCCAGGGCGCATCTTCTTTAGTAGTGACATGAGAGGAGGGACTGGACCCACGGCCAAAGCTGTTCCAGGCACCAATCCTATACTCATAACTGGTGTAAGGGTCCAGTTCAGTGTCTGAAATGGCATACCAGAGAACACACAGTCACACAAACACACACATTCCTCAGAATTCCCATGAAACCTCTTGACGACACCACAGGAGAGTTTCTATAGAGTCTCAGTCTTCACACTAAAAAAAGACTAAAATTTAAAGAGTACCCAAGGACCCTGCATTTACTGTAATGCTCTTTGTTATCAGAAGTACAGTGGTTTGTTGTAAACGTGTGTTTGGGGAGTCATGGGTGTAAATCTCCGAGATGTGTTTCATCAGACAGGCACTTATAGGAGTGACAGGATGACAAAATACCCTTCTAAGAGGACAAGACACAGTCTTAAAGTTGACCAAGCTAAAGTATTATTATTACAAAAAAAAAAAAAAAATCAACATTTGTAAAATTAAACTTTTAAAATTAAACTTTTAAATTCTGTTTATTTGCTCGTACATTAAGCAATAGCAATTTACTTTTTATTTTATTTTATTTTGTAAATAAAAACATAATAATAATAATAATAATAATAATAATATTTAAGCAAACTAACTTATTTACTAAAATTCTACTTAATTACATAAAACTAAAATTGTATATACAAGTACAGAAGTAAATATATAAGTAACATTTTTAAATTATGTGCATTTGCTTGTCAAGTCAAGTCAAGTCAAGTCACCTTTATTTATATAGCGCCACTCTGTTAGCTTAGATAATTTAGAAGTTTCATCTGGTCTTGTTGAGATATATAGTTGAGTATCATCGGCATAACAGTGGAAACTAATCCCGTATTTTTTTATAATATTAAAAAATAAATAAAGCATTTGCTTGTACATTAAGAAATACCAATTTGCTATTTTTCTTTTCTTTTGTAAATACAAAACATACTATTTCTACTAACTAATGACTATTTAAAGTGGTTCAATTAAATTTCAGTTGAAATAGAACTGGATTCAGCTGGAATGAATCTTAATGGAGGAAGTTAGTACAAAATAAAATTTGCAACCCTTCTGTAATTTTAAATATTTTCAACAAGAAAAAATGTACGGTAATTTTATCAGTAACAGAGTATCTGCAGGATTTTAAAGCTCAAATTTAAGACTTTTTAAGACCTGCACAAATAAAATTAATACCATATGAGTAGCGTAGGGCAATGTCTATGCTAACATATTAAACTGTAAAATGACAGTAAAAAGCATGATTTTCAGTTCAGATACAAGTTTTCTCAAAAACAAAATTTTACAAAATGATAAACTTCACATTTCAGCCTTTAAACCATTTTTAAGAAAAGGGATGAGTCAAAAGTATCAATTATTACATTAATTTAAACAATTATCAATCATTATATTAATTAAATAACACACAAATGTATTTTACTGTCTTAATTGTTGAGATTTTTATAATGAATTATCTTCTTGTCGACCCACCGGTTCACATTTACAACTGCATGTTTGCAGCGTAAAAACATGGGTTGATTTTCACATTGGTCTGAACAAAAACAACAGAATGACTTATTGAAAATGCAAATTTATTCTCTGCCAGCAGGAGGTGCTTTCGGAAAGGCAGAAATAAAGCGGTAACAGCAGTCCACAAATCAGCGCAGCACCTGACTAAACCTGCAGCGCTAATGTTTATATAATGAAATCATAGCCTTTTGAAGTTTAATCGTCACATTCAGCCATATAGCAATTCTAGTCTTTCCGTCCACAAATTTAAGACCTCTTGAAATCATAATTAAGACTTTCTTGTACCATTTAAGACTTTTTATGGCCTTAAATTTAATAACTAAATTTAAGACTTTTTAAGGACCCGCGGAAACCCTGTGTAAGGAACTGATTTGATTCTATAGTGGGTGTTTCATTCTAGAATGGAGCAAGGTGGATTTTGGAGGAGGGTGTTGTCAAAAAAAAAAAGTTACTCCATTTGGAAGTAAAACAATTTTTTTTCTATTAAAACAACATATAATGGTCACAACACTATAGGCACACAAGGATAGATTTAATCAGGGTCATTTTTTATTTCACTTTACATTTTTGACTTTAAAATTCTCAATACCCCAAAAAGGCCTCAAGGGTGTTTGCTACACAAAGTCAGGAGGAAGTGAAATCGTTCATATTTGTGTGGCTGGCAAATCAACGCTTGTGCAGCATTTGTCCGAGAGCACTCAGTGTCATCTTTCTCCGGGGTACGGGTATGGGGGTGTGAGAAACATCTGGAGCAGTGCAGGGCCACGACAGGTTTATACGCTTCTGCCAGATGGTGGCACAGCGCTGACTAGAATCACTCTCCTCGTGCCAGCCAGCCTCCTCAACTCCGGCATTAGTCTTGATTAAACAGACGTAACTAACCAAATAAATAACACCTCAGATGAGGTTGAGCCAGTAAGAGGGGCCAACGCTCCCCCTGAAAAGATAAATAAGTGTGCCAGTCAAGGGAGCGCTCTAAACGCCCTTAAAGTTTTAATGATGAGTTTGAAATAGCAGGTGAGATTTATGACTCACGACAATTAATACACACTAAAGCATCTGGTCTTGTGACCACATAAAATGTGCAGATGTTTACAGTGTGAGGAACATCCCCGAAATGACTGACACTTTCTTTTTTTTGTGTGCGTGCGTGAGCCATTCGGTTTGATGTCTTTACATAAAAGAGCATGTTGGGCATATACCATTTCTTGTTTATTGGATACATTTAGTTCTTGTTTGCAGGGCTGTTGCTTAAATTCACAGGGCTCGGGAAAAAAGTGGGCTTTCTCTCCTTTGGGCCCAAGAACGCTGTTTACAGAATATGCCTCCTTCAGCTCCTTCCTCTTGATGATGGCCCTGCTTTTATATTATTATATATTATGTATTATTATTATTCTATAATAATATATTATTAATTAATTATTATTATTATATACATATATATTCATAAAAAATGTAAATGCACTTAAAATGTATTTTTTTTTCTTAACTATTAGTCATTTTATTTTTTCACATACAAGGATGTGTCCCCTGATCTGTGAAATATAAAAATTGCCAACATTTTCAAAAAAAGGGAGTGTGTGATTGAGTAGAGCAGGGTTATTTTTCATTAGAATATATATAGTTAAATCCAAGTAATGTTGTTATTTTTCTGTAATTTTATTGTTTTTTTTGTTTTCTTTAAATATGTCTTTTTAACTTTGTTTTTTCATTTTTAGTTTTTCTTGTAATATTTATATTTTATTTCAATAACTATTTTTAAAAGATTTAAAAAAAGTTTTAGTTGCAGTTTTAGTTCAGTACGCTCCTGCGGCCACCGACACAGGACACACCGTACTGGGGCGGCATTTCTCCTAAAGGACACATACGCACACACACTCTCATTAGTGACAACAGTCATCAGACAACTGTTGTGTGTCAAAGTACCCCTGCCAGCGGGTGTGTATGGAGTCCTCTGTCTCAATAAATAGCACGGATGCCCCTTAATGACATAATTACAAGTTAATGACCGCCATCATAGTTTTCTTTTCTTGGTCTCTTTCTTTTCCTTGTGAGCTCAAGCTGGGTGCGCGATGAGCTTGTGTTACAGCGAGCAAATCTGATTAATGAAGTGTGACTGTGAGTGCCTACTTCCTGAGGAGAGGAGCAGATACATCACTGCTCTGTGCCTTATATTTCCAACCTCCACTTTACATCATGGCAGCTTAAGTTTAAAACTCAACTACTTTACTAAAACACCTACCCAATAACAGTCTTTAACACTGATAATTTATCAGCGCTAAATCTAACAGCTAATTATAAAAAATAAAAAAATAAAATCAGTCTTTTCCAAGTCTCATCTCACAGTCTATTTGCTGATTGTCTGATGCACACTGAATATAAAAGTCTGGATCAGGCAGCTCTAATCTGATTGGTTGGCTTCACGCAATTTCCAGGACTGAGGCCAAAATATTTTATAATCAAATTTGTGTTTATAAGATACTGAATTTCTACAATGAACACTTTTGAAGATTGTATAGTCATTTGATTTGTCAAAAAGTTTGCCATGTTAGTGGGATCAGAGTTTGGTTTGAAATACTTTTGTAGTAAGTTAACTTAAGACATCCATGACTAGAACTGCATTCTGGTAAATTTTATTTATACTTACTGTGTTCTGTTTATGGAAAATCAGGTTTTCTTAAAATAATAACTTCTAAAGTTAACATTTTAAATGTATTAAATTGCAACAAATGTATAATTACAAATATATTTAAATACCTGGCATACCTGTACATATTTCAATATAAATTATATTAAAGTATATTTTAGTTAACTATAAATGCTTGTGAGCACATTCAGCAGAACGCTTTAGCCCTATTTCAAAGATAATAGAAGTAACTATTAAATTACATACAAGGATGTACTTAAGACGTACTAATCTTAAGTAACTAAATGTCATATAAATTTTAATTATAATAAATTTTAATTTATTGTAATTAACATGCAATTACATATAGTTTACACTTAAGTATATTTCCATAATAAGTACTCTTTTTAAAGGTATAAAGAGCACTTGTTTTTCACACAGGGCTGATTTGAATAAATTTAAAATTTCCCTCTATTATAGTGGGATCAATGGTTTCTGATAAACCCGCACCTAAACAAAACAAAACAAAACAAAAAAAACTTTTTTTCTATCAGTGGCAGTTCTTAGCTAAAGTGTGGACCAGACATTTAGTCAAAAGTCTAGCTACACAGTACTAGTCTCTCCATAATCTGTTTTGGAAAATTTTGGCAAAGCATTGCTATAATCTGAGTTTGAGAAACTGGCGTGACACTACAGAACAGCTTGAGGGCAAAGTCTCCACTAAGTCTTCATCCTGAAGAACTATTGCTGAACGAGCATACAGTGAATATGTCACTCTGAGTGAAAGTGTTAATTACCAGGATGAGGATGCTGGCCGGGGCTCTGTCAGCACACACAGATGTGAGCGGATTGAAGCCCACTCCATTACAACACTCTTCCTCCTGATCAATCACCTCTGACCAGCAGCACTTCAGCGACGCCATCCTGTTCTCCACCACATGGACTTTAGACTCTCCGCCGGGACCCGTGCAGCACCAGGAAGTGGATGTGTTGATGTAGTGCTCTCCACAGCAGATGAAGCCTATGTAAAACAAATTTATACACATGGAAAATGCTGACGCAAACTGCTTTTTAATAAGCAAGAGAGCCTTAATCATAATCCATTGTAATAATGCAGTAAAGTTATGAATTGCAGTTTAGAACGTTGTCTGAATGGCACTTAGAATTTATTCAGACTTCATCCTGGTACACTGCAGCACTGTTGCCATAGGGAATCTCAAAACTAAACTGGAACACAACTAATAACGCATATGAAAACATCTTTGACATATAAACATGCACATTTTTTATAATCCAACATGTGGCCATTACAGCTCATGGGACGTTTCATGTCAGATGTCAGAGAGCTGCATGCGCAGCTGACATGTAAATGATGCAGACGGCCGTGCTGCATGAGGAATCAGCTTCACCTGGTGATTTGGCCACTGTCTCCTCCCATCAGCGCACATATCTGCATCCTCTCCTATTACCTCTAAAAGCATCACAGCGTTCTCTGAGGCCTGACTCAACAAACACGCACCAGCCTTGCAAACACAGCTATGTTTGAGGGGTATTAAAATACCTGCTTTGACACCACTGTTCAAAAATTTGGGGCCAGTAAGATTTCTATTTATTTATTTTTTAATACTTTTATTCAACAATGATGCATTAAATTGATCAAAAGTGGGAGTAAAAACATTCAGAATATTACAAAAGATTTCTATTTCAAATAAATGCTGTTCTTTTGGACTTTGTTCATCCAAGAATCCCCCCAAAAAAGTATCAGAGTTTCCTCAAAAATATTAATCAGCACAACTTTTTCAACATTGATAATAATAAGGAATGTTTCTTGAAAATTCTGCTTTGCCATTACAGGAATGAATTACATTTTAAAATATCTTAAAATACAAAACAGTTATTTTAAATTGTAATAATATTTCACAATATCACTATTTTTATTGCATTTTTGATTAAAAATAATGCAGCCTTTGTGAGCAGAAGAGACTTACTGACCCCATATTTTTGAACGCTAGCATACATCGACGGTCAGATTGCTTATACTACATATTACTCAATAAACATTTTGAGAAAAGCTTGCATTAATATGCAAACTATAAAACTGTATTTTCAGGCATATGCCAGGAACTGTAATAAGGACCAAGAAGATGAAACTGTTCGAACATGCTATAGCATTAGAGATCGTGGCAGAGGGAAGAAAGAATAGAATTTTCTGAAAAGCAGTTTAATATTCTTCTAACAGGAAGTGACTCCTGGTTTATTTCCTTGGGTAAACCATCACTACTATAATTACCATCAACCACCAGTATGATAAATTGCTAATTGTTTAATACCCTAATCAGCGTTCATTCTTTGCACAGATAAACTGTGACAGCGCCATTAATTTAAATAGTAATTTCACTTAACGGCCAAAACGGCGCAGCAGATTTTTATGCAACGTTTTCTAGGGGCCGCATCCATCACGGCTCTGCAGTGACATAAAGATGTCTGACGTGCTCTAACTCACTTAGGGACAGCAGATGTTGCAGCGCTGTGTTTGGTGGCAATTCCCAGGGTGCATTACTTCAGCTCCAATGACTTGCAAATAAACAGCTCAACAATTTTTCCAAAATAGCTCTGCCATCCCATCCCATCCCTGCCCCGGTGCATTTTTCATGATATTTCATTCAAAGACCAGTGAACTTTGACACCCTGACCTCTTAGCTGGGGATGTCCTTCTATTTTGTTTCCCGCACTTGACCTTGGCCTGTCAGCTAAAACAATTCATTTTCCTTCATCTCCACCTTTGTCGTGCTATGAATATAACAGAAGGGAAAGCCACTGCCCCTCTAAATCTGGTGTAGGCACGGCGCAAAAACATGAGCACCCTTTTAGCTCACGCTTTGTTTTTTTAAGCACTGCAAAATGATTTAGCTAATCTTCAGATTTATGATGGATTTGCATACATTCATTAGAGTGCGAGTGAACACAGGCGAGCATAAGGTGCTTAGGCTGTGTGAATTAAGGTTCATTCACTTAATGATAAGTAAATATTTAGCATGCAGTGAGCAACTGATAAAAATGTGTGCTGTGGCTTACACAAGCCTTTGGATCGTAAAACTAAAACTTCAAACAAACAAAAGCACTTTTTAAAAAACAGTGATGGCTGAGCACATTCAAAGTCATACTCACAGAGCAAAAGAACTTCATAGTGCTCTAGCTTTATATAGTGAACATTACAAATTTTTGAAAGAAAATGTGCTTTTTTGCTTTATTAATCCATTTTTTTTCTTTCAAATGATCATTTGCAAGCATTTTTAACTCATTTGTCAGGTGCATGTTACATGCTACAGTATGTATTTATCCTGGTTAAATAAAATATACTTTAGCCACTGGAGGAACAGAAAAAAGGAATGTTTCAAAGCTATCAAACGGTCAGTTTAAAAAACATTGTTCCCTGGCTGTTTCATTCATTTATTTATTCCAAGCATTCCTGAGGGAGAGGTGAAAGGACAGCACATTAAACTGACTTTCTTCATTTCATCCATTGGCCGCGGTTGCATGTGACAAAAAGTGCTTGGGTAGCAGTAATATTTTCACTGCTCTTTGGGGAATCTGAAAGGAGGAACAAAAGGGGGAGATTTAAGTTTGAACATAAAACTTGTAATGCACATGACAGAAATGCAACAAATGGCACTTTTGAATATCACTTGGTTGCTCTAGGTTTTTTTTTCTACTTCTACTTTTGGAATAAAATAAAGTTTTGAAATTAAACCGTAAGGTGCCATTCACAAATAATGTGTATTTGCATTCCGCTGCACTGCCTTTCCATTGTTTTTCTATTTAAACATGTGCTATATGGACGTGTTTGACCGTGCTCAAGTCTTTTCATGACGCAGTGTTCTAAACACTAGATGCTCAGTTTAAAAGTTCAACTTTAAAAAAAATAAGTCTCTAGACCTTGTGTTTTTCATTCCACTGCCCTGCGTCTTGAGTTATTTTTTTAAATGCAAAAAACACATCCATGACACAATTTACACAAGGTTGCATATGTTAACTGTACATGCATTAGTTAACAATTTACAATATTTTACAGCATAATCATAGTTAATATTAATTTCTATCTATCTATCCATCCATCCATCCATCCAAATTAACATTTTAAAAACATTTAACATTAACAATTCACATTAAAAAAAAAACTCAAGACAAGTTTTACCTAACACATTACCTAATTTTAATGTATAAAATCTTTAAAAACATAAACTACTATACACAGTCTTGTTATTAAAACAACATTAAAACATCAGAACCGTCACCATCAGTGGTCTGACACCACTATTCCTAAACCAAACAAAAAAGCATTAGGAGTCTGTACTTTGTGATTAGTAGTTGAGCCATGCAAAATGCTTTAATTGCTCAAGGATATTAACTGAGATTATTAGGCATGATTAAAGTAAGAAAAACTATCATCATAACTGTGTTGAAAGAAAATGGTCTTAATCTGTATGATCTCCAATCCATCTCAGCAAAAAAGATCCAGACGTGTGTGTTCAGAATGATCCCCTTTCTGGCATTCATGTCTTGTCATTTGCAAGACAGTTTTGGCAGAACAATATGAGGACATATGAGCCATGATGAAGCACTCGTGCAGTAACAAATACAACGCAGACACTGATGCATTCAGCCACCGGGATCATTTCCACTCGCAAATGCTCATTGTGTCCTTGAGAATATATTTAATTATTGCACTTTTTTGACATCGTTACAGCCATTCCCACACCCACTCTTATGATCCTTGTCTCTCTCACACACACACACACAGCTCTAAAGCTTTTAACACTTAAATGGAGTAAAATATTCAGATATAACCTTGACTGTGATACAGGCACTGTGCTTTTAAGCAAAGCTCTGTACATAAGCAGATATTAAAAGAGCTCTCCGTATGACACCAAGCCTCCAGATGCAGAAAACCCTGTAATCCAAATCTAAACTTTAAACAGGACAGCGGGACATTTACAGTAATACCCTGTATTACTGAAGGCTATTGTCTAAACCAGGGGTGCCCAACCCTGCTCCTGGCGATCGACTGTCCTGCAAAGTTTAGCTCCGACTCTAATCAAACACACCTGCCTTTAATTTTTAAGTGATCCTGAAGACCTTAATTAGTTGCTTCAGGTGTGTTTGATTAGGGTTGGAGCTGAACTTTGCAGGACAGTCGATCGCCAGGAGCAGGGTTGGGCACCCCTGGTCTAAACTGTTTCTCATGTCTCAAATGGAAACATTCAGAAGACTGGATTGACTTTCGACAGTTTAAAGGCTTTCGTAACTTGTCATGGTGGATGACGAAACGTTTCACAGTTCAACTTCAAACAGTTCTGTCAGGACCACTATCGTCAAAGATGATTGACAATTAGCATACAGTTTGGATTGGCGGTATGGTTCCGTTCTGGGCAAGAACTCCCTGTGCATCCATGCAGCCTAGCATGGATGAGAGCAGGGAGAGCAGCGATAACCCCCCCCAGGGTAAACAGAACAGAACCAACATAAATGTATTGCAGATTTCGTTAAATTTCAATAATGTTATGTACACATTTTAGAGTTAGTCTGATTCAAGGAGAATCAGAAGGCTGAATCCTGACTGACAGAGGAGGAGTTGGGGATGGAGGAGGGTAATTAGCTATTGAGCAATGCGAAAACTGCTGATACTACTGCGGGACCTTATATATGAATACTTTGATTGGTGTCGTATTCCCATAGGTTGATGGGGATCAGCTGAGAGTCAGCTGATGCGAGATTGACTAACGTGACCTGCCAGAACTGACGCTACGCTAGATATGTCTTTGTTTCTGTAACTGGTGTGAAATCTTGGTTATAATTTGGGTTATAATTAGGCAACATTGATAAAATTACGATAATTGTTATGTGTTCTATTTGGTTATGATGTTTTCTAAGCCTGTGTCATTAGAGTTGCAAAACTGTGTTAGAGTTGGAACGTTTGATTCAATTTTATTGCTTCACTCAAAAATGTTCAAAGATTTTATAATTTTTCATATATTAAAAGGTTTTAAAATTAATACTGCTTTTTTAAAGTAAAAAATAGACTGGAAAACAGATAAAAAAAATGTGTGCTTTAGTTCTTTCATTAAACATACAGAATCTAAATGATCAGAAAAATATTTAATAAAAAAAAAAAATCATGCACTATGTAATATACCAATAGCAAATAATATTTATGATATCTAGTATTTTATCACAATATAAAATTAATATAATATAATATTTATTTTTAATGTAAACAATGGAAATTATACTATAAAATTTGGTTTAAAAAAAAAGTGTAATGACTGTAATCATCCATCAAAAAGCAAAATACTAGAGACTTTGTATGGCACATAATGCTGTTTTAATTGTTATTTAATTATTGATCGATCGATTGTTTCTTTAGTGATTTATACACCATGCCCAAAAGGTGACATTGTTAATTTTCTTTTGTAATTTGACTAATAGCAGTTCTTTTGAGACTGGTTAAGGGATTGGTTCACAGGCAGCTTTTCAAACAGCTGATGGCTGTCTCCAACAATTCCATCTCCGCTGTGCCGGAGCACTGCGAGTCCTGACAGGCTAGAGTTTAATGTGTGACAGATCGCACTTTGGGGACCCAGTAATCACATTTCCATCGGCCATCAGCTGGATCTCAGTGGGACATCCTCAAAAAACCGCCTGTGATTCTATTTCCACAATCTGGAGGAGCACATGCAGCTTAAACACAATGTCATGGCATTTCTGAACAACAGAGTTCAGAAACACAAATAGAAAAACAGACAAATTTCTCTCTGACAACCCACTCTTGAAGACAGGCCTAAATATATATGGCATCTAAATTTAAAATACGCATCTATTTAAAATATACTAAATGCACTATAATTTGATTGGTTGAGTCACATTTGAATGCATCAAGTGTATTAGTCAATGCAAATGAACTACACTACCATTCAAAAGTATGCGGTTGGTAACATTAAGTATTAATTTCTTTCAGAAAACAAAAATCTCAAACTTCCTACAGAACATCAGAGTCTTTTGCTGTTGTTGGCATTTTATACAAACAATTAGACATGAGAGGTCAAGCGTTACAGTGATTTTACCATGGTTAAGGGGAGTTAGACACTTCACTTCATGGAAAAACAATGGTAACTAGTTTAACTAGTAACATAGCTTAACTATGGTAAAAATCCTATAACACAAAAATTAAAGAAATAAGCAGTCATATGCCTAATAAACCTAATTAAGCCCCCATTAGGCTTTCACCAAAGCCTGTAGTTTTGCCACAGTCTGCAGCACATTTCAGCTTTTACTCACATTACATCCTCCTTAGCCAATAGAAGAGGATAGCAGCTCATGGCATATGCCGCATTATCTGTCCATTAGCTTATATTTGCAGAGACACTCACCGCCGCTAAAGGAGACGGAACCTTGAGGGAGTTGGGGTGTCTTTATCAAGGTTAAGTAGCTCATTCAATAATAGAGCAGGCTGACAGAGTGAGGAGCCAGCGTGGAGCTCGCGGCGTGAGCCCCCAGCTCCGCGCACCAGCGGTGTGGCTACCAGGCAAATGGCCTTTAGTTATCCTAACAGTACTAGCCATCATAACATATGCTCTCCCCAGGATCCTCTCTTTAATGAGCGATGACTTCTTCATCTGCCTTATTTCAGTAAGATGAACCAAAGGAAGAGAAAATCAAGCGAGGTAATGAGCGAGCACTGTGGCGTGGTGTGTTTTAATCTAGAGGAAAATGTTCTGCTAGCTTCCGAAATAACTCCAGGTATGTAGTGAAACGAATGAAGTGATTAAGTTCCCTAAAAAAGGGGGACAGCTTTGAAAAACTGTATATCAAGGGTAGGGTGATTAACCAAAGCTTGAAAATGATTACTGGACCCAATCCCAGGATGCTACCGAAGCCACCGAACGACTTAGAGAGTGTGTTTGTATGATAAATACACTGATGCCACTGACCTCATGGTGGCCATTAGTTCTGTTGCATCCTGGGAGCCTGCTGTGGGCTTGGCACAGCTCTGGTTGGTGCTCAGATAGACTCAGCTCCATCATCCAGCCTGACAAAGATGGCTGACACCAGGACCAGTGCCCATCCAGCCCATCTGTGCCCAGGTGCCCACTTTAGCAGGGCACTGCAGGGGAGCCTGGGTGACCCCAAGAGGGTTCAGCTCCTCTGACACCCACCACAGTGTCATTAGAAAGTCACTAAGGAGTGAGGGCTAAACTTAGCCACAATGAAGTGGTCATACGTGCTTTGTCCCATTTAAAGTTTACTAGTGCCACATTTTCTGTTTTGCAGAAGGAGAGGATTTTAAGGCGGTCCTGACAGTACAATTCTGCTCTCTGACAAGCGGCTGTGATAAATGGATTGTACTATAAGTGTGATGTGGTAAATGCTAATTATACTTTATGTTATCAATAGTGGTTCACTTCTGTGCTGGACTGCGACTGCAGATCAGATATGACTTGGACCAATCAAATATGAGGACCGGAACCAACTTTTCTCTAAAATACACTACTGTTCAAAGTTTTGGATCAGTAATATTTTTGAAAGAGAGAAAGAAACACTTTTATTCAGCAGGGATACATTGATCAAAAAACTGATCAAAAGTGACAGTACAGACATTTATAACATTACAAAAGATTTCTGTTTCAAATGCTGTTCTTCTGAACTTTCTATTAATCAATGAACCCTGAAAAACTAAATGTATCATGGTTTTCACAAAAATATTACACAGCCCAACTGTTTTTAACATTTATAATAACAATAAATATTTCTTGAGCAGCAAATGAGCCTTTTAGAAAGTGACACTGAAGATTGGCGTAATGGCTGCTGAAAATTCAGCTTTGCATCACAGGATTTTAAAATATATTAAAATAGAAAACAGTTGTTTCATACTGTAACAATATTTCACAATATTATGGTTTTACTGTGTTTTTGATTAAATAAATGCAGCCTTGGTGAGCATAAGAGACTTTACTGACCCCAAACTTTTGAACGGTAGTGTACAATACATTGCAGTTGTGACAATGTTCGACAAGCATGTTTCTCCAAGCTAACCTGATACATGTTTATGGGGCGACCCCTGGTGAGCATCCCCACAGCACACCATCTCTCTTGGGACTAGCTGTCCTCCACAGCACTGGGAGCTGAAGCCATCATAAAGACGCCCCCCACAGCAGATCTGTCTGGCTCCAGACATGAAAGGACTCCCACCACAGCACGAGTCCCCGAGACCAACAGATACATGCCGTTCCACAGAGTCCGGACAACAGACCTCTCCTTCGAACACATATCGAACAATCAACTACAGTATGTGATGTAAAACAAAAGAATGTTAAAAAAATAAGGAAGAAATACTGAGATTGATATTTTTATGCAGCATAAGTTGAATTCACATTTGGCTGTGTTAATGCTCAATGCAGTGCATACCTGGTGGAACTAGTATGTAATATCCTCCACAGCACTGGTGTTGAGGCATAGGCTGGAAAAACCGACCTCCACAACACACACTCCCAGAATCCTCTAAAGCTGGAACATAACGCTCTTCACAACACTGATTAGACTGATTTAGGCTGTGAACAGTCCCTGCACAGCATACCTGTAACAATAAAACACATATAAAAATATATGCAATTCAAATACATTGTCCATACAAGTTTCTCACTCCTCAAGACAATTAGGAATTTAAGAGGTGGCAATGCCTCAGCCCTGAGGGCCCGCAGAGGCACATGTGAGCGCAGGTAGAACTCCAGCCCATCTCTTCGCTCCATAGCGGTGGGCTATATTTAGCCAGACTCCGCTGCCTACTTTGGCGAGAAATCAGGGCAGGATAGATTCTCATAGCGCTGAGATGATACTCTTGTGGTGTCTGAAAAATCTGTATTGCCCTGAGCCACTGACATTATCCTTATCTTCTGGCCCAGCTTCCAGTAGAAAAATGGCATCCAGTAAATACCTCCTCTGCTGTGCCTTTGAGAGAGGTCTGAACTTTTAAACCTACTTGAACCCAGTTTATCAAACTCCTGAGAATTACAACCACTACATGTAAAGGCAGTACAAAAAGAAAGCTTGTGCATACAGTATGTAATTGCCCTCAAAAGACAATTTCAGCCAGAGTTATAGGCTTCTGACAAGGTATCTAAGTAAAAACGATTATCAAAAAATAAAATCCATTGGTTGTTTATTGGATGGAGTCAGATATGAAGGCAAGCTTGCAGTCCACTGTAAGAAGGGGGCAGGGATTAAATGATTGGAAAAGTCTGGAACACATCACCTGAGATAAATGATGCATTGATGAATCTTTCACAAGTCCAATTAGGACATAGAGAGTGTGAATTTTCAATTCATGCTGACTTTAAAATTTTAATTTAATTTATAACATAGGTTGATTAAACATTTTGATTAGAGTCTTGGGATATAGTGTTGGACAATGAGGGGCCTTCAAGTCAAAACTGTTCAGAACCACTGGACCAGCTTATATTGCCCAGACAATAGGGAAATCCCCTATTGTAGAATTTACAGCATGTTTAAATGTGTTCATTTTTCTACCTTTTTTTATAATTAAAATAACACATTAAATTGACATCTCTAATTATAGCTGATATTTCCTATTAGTACTAATAAAGAGTCAAACAAAAACACCTTTCACTAGGTGTTAAACTATGGATAACATCTAGGTTACTTGTGTAACCCTCGTTCCCTGAAGGAGGGAACGGAGACGTTACGTCAGTCGTGACTGACGAATTGGGATCTCGCCCGAGAGCCCAATCACCTTCGAGTGTTAACTAAACAAGCCAATGACAGTTGGCGTGCGTGTTTCGCCACGCGCACCCCGCCCCGCAGCGCGGGTATAAAAGGAGAGCGCGTGCAAACACACATCAGTTTTTCGCTGAGGAGACGAGACTATGTGCCCCGGCCGTACAGCGGTGGTACAGCAACTGTGGCGACGGAATGTAACGTCTCCGTTCCCTCCTTCAGGGAACGAGGGTTACACAAGTAACCTAGACGTTCCCTTTCAGTCAGTCACGTTCGACGTTACGTCAGTCGTGACTGAGGACGCGGGTGCCAGAGGGTGCCCCCTCTCTGAGAAAGGAGATCCGTCCTCAGAGGAATTCGCCAAGGAGGGGCCGTCGCGAGGAGCATCAGTTCGGGGAACCAAGTCCGACTGGGCCCTTGCCGGCTTCCGCAGGGCACTGGAGGGGGTCAGCAATAGTGGTGTTTTCCATACGGATCCCAATTCGTCAGTCACGTCTGACGTAACGTCGAACGTGACTGACTGAAAGGGAATGCTGAATTCAATACGAGCTCCATTAACACATTATCACAATAGTGTGTCATGTTGCCTCTGTGAAACTAATTTTTCTATTATACTGCTTTACAGCTTTGAGAGCTCTTGTCCTTATCTGAGTTGTGTTCTCTTTGTGAGCTTGTCTCTAGTGTATTACTGTCTGATTTAAGCTGGTGGAGACGTATGACCTGTGCTTGCTTGCCAAGTTGGCTGTATTTCAACAACACCAGGATGGCAGCAATTGCAGAAGACAAGTTAATCTGTTTACTGAAACCAATCACAGGGACTGTGCTTCATAGATAAATACCAGCCACTCCAACTGATTCGTCACTGTTTCTTCATGGAATACTCTACCATCAAAACTAATGATCTAAGTATAACAGTTTAATAGAGGTTAGTGAGTAGTTACCTGTGTCTCAGGCTTATAACAGGTCTTGCCGCAGAAGTCTTGTTCTGCAAGGCACTCCAGGTACGAGCAGTGAGCCTGAGGAGCAAACGCCTGCTGGGTCTGCAGCTCCTCGCACCGCTGCAGGGTCCTCCGCCACACGTCATATCCTCCCAGAATGCCATTGGGCTTACCAGGTGATGTCCATTCTAGTTTAACTGATCTAACACATACAGTATACAGACAAAGCACAGATATTACACCTTCACAAATACTGCTCATCACTTGGTGTATATTGTCAGTCTGGTTTTAGTTCATACTTTGTTTTTGTTCCGTCACTGTCAAGGAGAAAGCATGTAATATAATAGAAAAATGGTGATAATCGCCTCGTTATATAGCGCTTTCTACAACTTGATATAGTACTAGAACTAGAGCCAAATAGATGTGCTGTGCAGTATGAGTTATGATATGTGTCATCTTTTCTTTTTCTGATGTACTTCTTGTATTGATTTTCCTCTCCACTCATCATGCAGGAGAGCTGGCTTTCCACAGAAAGGAACAATTTTTGTTCACTACTGCTTACTTTGAGATACTGGATAAAATATTGAGACCTGTATTATGTCATTAAAATATTAAGTTGTATTACAAGAATTTTACTGTATCCCATTTTTTAATATTTAGTAATAGCAACAAATTTATTTTACTAATCACTTATTATCTTGTATTTTAAGGTAAGTTTGATTATGAATAAGCTTTAAATGGCCCATACTAGGAACCCTGCTGTGGCATACTGTAAGCAACACACTTTTTATTAGCATTAGTTAATAAATTAGTAAATAAGAAACAAGCAAGCAAGTAAATACAAAACAAAAAATTTGGTGGTGCAGCTTGCTATCTAAAGGAACAGTAGGCAGGGAAGGACAGGGTTTTGGACAACAAAACAACACAAAAAACATTTGCATCTGGCGGTGCAGTTTGCTGCCTGACGGAACACTGCAGAGAGCAAACAGGAAGGAAAAACCAAAAAGCCATTAAACAAGCCTTATTTCTTTCTTAACTGTTGCCATAACCTTATGGAAATGTGCTTTTGTTTTCATCATCTTTTTCATCTCCTCTCCATACATGATAATATCCATACCGCTCTGTGATTTGGCTTCCGTTGCTTTTTGCCTATATCTTTTGTGTTGTGCAAATCTCTTGTCACATACGCAAGACGTAGAGAATGACATAATTACGGTTTGCGTGGGTCTCTCTCCTCTCCTCTGTCCCCTCCCTGATGAGGAAGCTAATTGATAGTGAAGGCCTCTGATGACTTAAAGCTGACAGACCTTAGTATCAGATTAGGAATTCATGAAATGCGACAAGGCTTCCTCTTTCAAAGTACAGACAGAAAATCGTTTGGAGATTACTGTGGGCTTTAAAAAAAACTAAATATTATTCATGCTTACTTTTTTTCTTGAGGGGTCAGGGATGGGGAAGCAACTTTCCTATAACAAATGCGTTAGTATTATATTACAAAGGGTGTCATTTGCTGTCCACCGTTAATCCCTCATGGAGAGAAATAACTGGAATTCATATTGGGCGGCAGCAGTGTGTAAGCCATCGGTTGCAGCACTTGTCATATTTCAATCAAAGCTTAAGCCAGCCGCCAATTCCTGTTCCCAGCCCCCACATAGCACCAATTTCGTGAATTACCCTTGTTTTGTAATTATTCATAATTATTTTATAAAAGAATTGAAGGAACAATGTAGATCAGAGATGCCAAATCCTGTTCCTGGCGATCTACCTACTGTACCTGCAGAGTTCAGTTCCAAACCTGATCAAGCACACCTGTCTGCAATTATCAAGTGCTCCTGAAGATCTAAATGAGCTGGTTATGTTGTGTTTGATCAGACTTTACAGTAAGATCTCCAGGAACAGGAGTGGGCACCCCGAATATAGATGGTAGATGGATTGTTTGGGCTCACCATGTCACACTTCGAAGGGATGGTGAATATTTAACCAATAGATTATCCACAACATGCACACAAAACTCAAGCGTGGCGAAACTCAGTGTATAGGCTACTTGCCTCACAGACATGAGAAATATATCTAAACAAAGCTTGAAATGTCAATATTGAAATTAACCAATTCAAATAGAAAACAAATACTCTATGTAATCTGTATGAAAGGCGCATTTCTCTCTAAAGGTGCATCCACTGTACTGCGGAGATGACGAGTCCACTTCATCTTTGCAGCCGACACACTGACTAAGAAAACGCTAGTTTATTAATAAATAATTAAAATATCTTCTTGCTATTTTTCCCAACACAGTCATTACTTTTGCCGGTGCTTTGTGGCAAGCTTTATGCATTCGTAAATAGGCTATATATTATATATTAGTGGTTTAGTTCCCCACCCCCCTGTATATATTGAATTAATTAAATGAATAAATCGACTACTAGTTGACCAGAAAAATCTTTAGTCAGAGGCAGCCCTGGTAAACTCACATTCACACCACTATCTGTGTCTGCTTGACTGACTCACCTTGAGCTAAGCACCTGAATCTGAGGTTTGGCGATTTCAGTCGGTGTGTCCTCCACCGTGGTCACCTGAGTGCTGTTACTCTCCACACACGCATACACGGTACACACCTCCACCTAAACACAGAGAACAACCCCACTGCACAGGTTAAATCCAAAACAAAGTGAGGTCCAAAATCTGAGACCATTTTACATTAAAATTACACACAATACTAAAAATTAAAAATCAGCACAAAAAATAAGTGAAATTATATGTGCAATATTACAGAAACATAATTATTAGTTTAGGATTTAAAATCCTTATTTATTTATTTACTTGCCCATTTTAAATCCTAAAACATTTAGATCCTAGATTTTCAATGTGGTCTCAGACTTTTGAACTTTTAATATAAGCTAAATAAAACTATGTATTTGTGTGTTTAGATAGAAGGCCAGACCTGAATACTGTGGACAGTGAACGGCAAAAGTCCTCCCACTTCCAGTGATCCAGTTCCATTGCTAGTAGACTCATAGAGATGGCCATCAAGATAGATGGAGTACTTTGTGACTACACCATTTGGAACAAGAGGAGCTGTCCATAGCACCCTCACTGCTGTGCTATTTAGGACCACCACCTCTGGAGGAAAGATTCCTTCAGGTTCTGCAATACAGAGAGAAAGCCACACTAAACCACCCAGAAGAGCTCAGCGGACTGGAGCCCACATGAACACATACGGTCATATTGACATAACCCCAGCACTTTTGAAGAGCTCAATCCTCAAGATTTGTCTCTTTAACCTCTGCCCAAGATGAAGCTCAGGGAAGGCTCGAGGTCCTTAAGTCTGCAGTAGTCTCTACAAAGAGTAAAACAATGACCAATAACATCTACAGAAAAAGACCTGGAGGAAAAGCAGTTTTTCATTCTTTTCTCTTTTTTTCCCCAGACCAAGATAGTGCCAGTGGTAGCATAAACACACAGCATATTCTACTCTTAATAGTCTCTGAAAAGGCTTTGGGCAGCACTTTTATTTCTGCCATAGAAAAAGAGCATAAAAAAGAGACAGAAAAAAAGGGATAAACAAAAAAAGGACAGGCATTTTCTTAAAGCTGATCTGTGTATTTTTTTGTGTTAAAATACGTTCTCCTATCCTAGCTTAAAGTGTTGAGAACTACAGTATAAGGAAACTATTCACAGAAATTCTGATCATTACACTATTTAAACTACTACTATTTAAAATAAAATATATATACACACACACACACACACACACACACACACATGTCCCTCAGTTGTCTAGTTCAAACAATAACCAATAATACTGCAGCAGTACACATGTGTCTGTTTGATGTGTGTTCCTGAGTGCACTCGTGTATAAATAATGTAATTTTATATGTACATCAGGGAATGCTGACAGCAATACATCAGGGAGGGCTGGCAGAATGAGAAAAGGCTGAGTGTGACTCTTTCACTTTCCCTCTTGCTTTTGGGGGTTCCCGCAGATGGTTTGTGGGCAAATTGAATCAGTCCTGGAGAAGCGCGCAGGGTTTGGAGTTCTGCACCAGGGGCAGAGGGGGTTAACTGGGCCAGTCTGGGGAATTCTTTCTACAGCTTGCACCATCTTTGCCTTCTTTTTCTTTTTTCCCCCCTCTATATTTTGCAAGCTCTTCCTTTCCCATGACAAATCACACTGACTTACAAAAGAAGACCAGAGAGCATATTTTTCAGCTTGATGTGACTCTAGTAAAGAGCTATTGTGACAACTTTGTAAGGCTCTTCTGAAAGGATGTAAAAAGGGAATGATTGATAAAGCTTTTTTTCTGAGGCTAGTGAAGTTAGTTTGTGAAAGAGAGCTGAAAGACACGAGTGTAGTGCTAATGACAGCTGAGAGATCAAATATCTCAGCAGTGGCTTTGAACAAGCCATTGGCTGACATGACAAGCTGGGGAATGAATTCGATACAGAGCAGGGGTCCTGACACTTACACTCTCTCTAAAGAATAGAACTGCTGTTCTTCCTACTCAAAGCCTCAAAAAGTCTCCCTTCAGGAGATATCCTGCTAACACAAAGGTCAACAAGTGAAGAGACCCCATCTAAGATATTTTCTAGTAACGTGCTTGTACCTTTACAGCAGATCTTACTGAAGGTTTGTGAGGGACAGATAAATGTTTTGGTATCGGCAACAACTAACAGTTACGTAAACACCTTTGGTCATGCATTAATGGGTGGCATGTCACTTAAAAGGATGGTTAAATAATGGTTCATACAGGCCACATTTTTCTATATAAAAATGTGAGGCACAGGGAGGTGGAATGAAATAAAAGCAGAACCTAAAAAAAGTTAAACTTTTTCTAACATTTAAGACATAAGATGTGAGTGCAATAGTCAAATGTCCATCTAGTTTATGTATTAAAAGTGAATAAAATATAAAATAAAAAAGAATGAATGAATGAATGAAAAAATAAAGGGTTCAGTGTGAACAGACCCTAACATTGTTCTTAATGAACTAAAGTACTCATTTTCATTGTTAAGAAGCAAGAATTGTTACTAATCAATTAAATATTTTTATCAGACAATCAATCAATAAAAGAAGTGCTGGAGAAGCTCCTTTTAAACTCTCAAGCTACAAGTTACTCATATTTTAAAACAGTCAAACAACAAACAAAATATTCTTTTTAAAAGTAGTTAGGTGGACTGGCTACATCAAAGCTCCTGAAATATATCAATAAATCTCTCATACAATTTTTAAGAGCAGAGCAGTAATTATCTACAACTAAAAATACCTTAATAAAGAGAAAGTCTGACAGATAAATTTACACTAAATTAAATCAAATAAAACTAAAAGCACACTAATATACAGTATATAAAAGTATCAAAAATATGGCATTGAACACCACTATTTAGTATTAAATATTTCTTAAAAAGAACAAAAACTGTAAAATCAAGTGCAGGAACTCAAATGAATCAGTGAATCATTTGTCAAATGGGTTCATTTTCAGGAACTGTCTGAGTTAACCAACTTCCCAACATGGCATATGAGACAGAAGACACATAGGAGAGCTGAGAGCACATTTGGATATTGACTCAGCTGCTTTGAAAAAGTTGGAAAAAGTAGCTTAGTACTTGAAAAGGCTAGACTGTTTAGAACGCTGCTGAACTACTCAAGTTATTAAAAAATGCTTAGTGCCCGCTTGTTACTCCCCATCATTGACCAAAAGAGCAATGATGAGACATACTTGTATGTGACCGATATCAGTGCTCTCCTGAAGCGTCTCTTTCCATGTCATTTCTGCTGCTGTATTATTAATGCAAGACTTCGCATGGACAACCTCATCTCCATTCCAGTTTTTAATTAGCGGGCTCTTAACATATACACTATCATGCAGCATAGTATGATCTTTTAAGTTCAACTGCTTTTAATAAGCTGCCCTTTAGGCTGTAAAATAATGAAGCTTCCACTACTAGCTCTTTGGTAAATGACCTGTAACCTTTATTTAGGAGCAAATGACATTCTAATATTTTTAATTATACTGATAGGTGACAGAGAAAGAAGTTGAGGTATGTTATGGAAAACCAGTTGTTTAGTTTTTAGTGCGTAAAGCACAATTTAACTCACACCGCAGTGTGTGTGTGTGTGTGTGTGTGTGTGTGTGTATGCATACATAAGAGGTTTGCTGAGCTTTCATCTGTTTCCTGTGATATCAGTGCATCAGTACATTAACTGTGTAAGAGGACAGCTTAATGACTATTGATCATAGCTCAGAGGTCAAGATATCACAATTTTGGTAAAGGCACATTTTTCTGCAGCTTGTGAGGTTTGCCTTTAGAGTGCAGAGGGAAAATATTAAATCAGTCAGTTCTTCTCCTCATCAGTTTTTTATCTCTGTGAGCAGGGGCTGCTGAAGTGATATGAGAGAGGCAGGCTGACAGAAATCACAGGAATATTTTAAGTGTTGACAGGAAAACCATAATTAGCCAATATCTTCAATCCAAATTTCATCCAGTTAAACATACAGAGATGGTTGTGGTCTAGTAAACTCCATATTTCAGTTAAACCACTTGGATTCTAAATATCATCTAAGACGCTTTGCAAACGTTTACATTATATTTGTAAAACTGTATCATGGTTTCCACAAAAATATTAAGCAGCAAAACCATTTTCAAAACTGAGAAACTATTACTGAGCATCAAATCAGCACATCAAAATGGTTTCTAAAGGGTCATGTGACACTGAAAACTGGAGTAATGACTGCTATAAATTCAACTTGTCATCACAGGAATAAATTCTATTTTAAAATAGCAAACAGTTCTTTTAAACTGCAATAATATTTTATAATATTATAGTTTTACTGTATGAAAAAAAATGAAGCCTTGGTGAGTATAAGAGACTTATTTAAAAATTATATTAAAAACTTTTACTGACTTCAAAAATGTAAGCTTGGCAAAAAGGTTTGGAGATTTCGATTCCATTCACATAACAAGAAATGTATTTTTCAAATGGATCACTCCAATATGGACTTTGACTGCCTAAACGTACTTAAGGGACAATCATGAATATTACAAATGGTACAACCAGTACATGCACTTAACAATAAATACATTTAATACTTTGTTTTATGCTAAAAATTCAGTCAAAACAGGTAGGTTAAACAACAAATCTGGGGCCCTGTGGCTTCAAGTCAAGTCAAGTCTGCTTTATTGTCAATTCTTCCACATGTACAGCACATACACACAGAGAATTGAAATTGCGTTACTCTCAGACCCTTGGTGCATACAGATAGCACTAACAGTAGAACATAAATACAGATATACAGATTAAATATAAAATACAACTATACAAATATACAAATAAGGTAAAATGTAAAAAAAATATAAAAATATATATATAAAGCAGCACACGGCACATGGCAGATAGAGTGCAAACCAGTGAAGTAAACAACAGTGCAGATATAATGGGATAGCTGGCTTGTGTGGGTTAGCCGCTAGCCTAGCCCGGATACCTCCGCGCTTACCCCTCTTCTGCTTCCTCTCACGCCGCTTGTGGCGCCTCCGCTGTGGGCGAGATGCAGTAGTGGGGGTCGGTGATGGTGTGGGCCTCCGGAGCAGACTGAGATCCCGCAGCTCTTCGGCGTGCGCAGAGTTTAACTCTAAAAATGTGGTTCTGCCGACATCGAGCAGAAACTCACGACTGTATGCGCGCTTAGAGACAGATAGACGCGACGAATACGTACAAAAACACTGCGACTCACAAGACAAAAAACACGAAAACACCTTTCTGTCGGGAGAGAGAGAAGCCGCAGCGTGTGAACGCGCCGCCATCATATTGTACGAATATGGCAGTCAAAATAGATGTGAGTATCAAACATCTATGTGGCATGCACTCACCTCCATCTGTAGTAGTGCAGCTGACCTCAGGACTGGTAATGTTGTGAGCACCGTTGGATACAGTCAAGGAGAGCTTGTACTCTGTGCTGGGCTGCAGGTCAGAGATGACCACACAGGTCGCAGCGGGGTCAAGTGCAAGAGTCTGCCTGTGCTGGGTGGACAGAACAATAAGGATGTAGTCCTCCACACTTCCCTGCAAATCTTGCAGAGCTGGGAACATAAAATATAAAGAGAGACAGGACACACTAAAGGTCAATCTCAAAAACAAGCTCTCTAAACACAGATTCTTTCCTGAAATGTATTTTCGGTCACAGGCCAGGATGAGTTTAATATAGAGATTCTTGACTCTTACTGGGGGTGGACCAGTTGACCAGGATCGCTGTATGATTGAGAACTTGGACAGATATGCTGGTGGGGGTGAGGGGTTGCCCAGCCAGTGTGACCCCTGTGGCAACCTCCCCTGAAGCGTAGCCAACATCATTGTGAACCAGAAGTTTGTATTCGTACCATGTGTACCTGTAACACATTTAAAAACATTATGCACAAGGACATTTTCTGGAGCCACAATCATAGAATCTTATAATCTATAAATATATAATTATTTATATAATTACATGTACATATTAAACAATTTATACTGTATGCACAGAAAATTTTAAAAATACTTTTAATTTATTCATATAAATAAAAAAAAAAAGTCTAAACATATAATCAAGAAATAGGAAAAATACTTAAATACATTTGATTATGATAACTATTCTAAATATATCCACTGAAAAGTGTGTTTATAAGAATGAGGCTGTATAATACTAACAAAAGCTGTGATAATACTGCATTAAATGTCAAGTATTTAAATATGCTGCTTAAAGTCAAGCTCAAAGTTAATCTTTTGCAAGGACTGAAAACATTTAAATGAAGTCAGGCATGAATCTAAATGACAGAACCTGTGATACACGGGAAACATTTGGGGGTTTTATGTTGGAGTTTTTCACCGTACACACAAGGAGTGCCAGAGAAAGATTAGCCGAAAACAATTTAATTCTATGGAATATTTGCTCAAAGTATCTTTGAACAGCATTAAAAAGATGGCATCGGTGCACAAAAACAGTTTTGTACACACAAGCAAAGTTTGCATTAAAGCTAATTTCAGTAATCTCACCTGCTAAGGCCTTTATCTTCATGAAACAATTTGGTTCCTGCGTAAACATTGTACCACAGATTCAAATCTTCGGGGGGACGGGAGGCCAGGGGCTGCTGGGTTTTCCGTCTCAACAGCTCAAATCTGAGGGCAGCGGAAACAGCCAGATAATCAGAGCCTGCTCCACTCCCACAATCCTCCTGCCATTTCACCCGCACCGCTGTTTCGCTGGGTTTGTGCTTTTGTCTTTTCTCTCTCTCTTTCTTTCTCCCTCAACAGTAATGCTAATTTTGGCTGTAATCAGGAGAGCTCAGCTTAATGTGCGCTTTATAAGCCTAGTTAAACAAACAGAGCAGCAGTGGGAAAAGTAGTCATGAATTTTAATCATCCGCCGTGAACAGACTTTATTTACCACCTAATCAGCTCAAAAACAGACTAAAATATACAGTGAGAAAGAACAAGAACTTTTACGTTGTGCCTCACTCTTCACAACCTTGCTGTTCTCATACAAAATGGCAGAGTTATGGATTATTCCCAACAGATTTTAGAAATTCCTTTACCATATGAATGACAATTTTGGTTACAATTGATTTTACTTTGAAGAATGTGAACATCCATTTTATCATCCATTTTACAACCATATCTATATACATCAAATATAAATAAATAAATAAATAGCTAGCTAGCTAGATTGATTGATTTTACTTTGAGGAATGTAAACATCAATTTTAATATACATTTTTACAACCATATCTATATATATTCAAATATAGTAGTACTACTACTACTAATTATTACACATAAATAAATAACGAGTAATAAATTCAGTAAGTAACACTACTTAAATGTGTCAAGGAACTAAGATGTAGTACATCGATTGAACATTCATTGGTTACCTTATGTTGGGCCCATTCGGCCTTCTTGGGAGTTGCCATGAAACACCCAGGAAAGATTCACTGATGGCTACTACTGACAGGGATGGCAGACCTTCTGGGATTGTGGGTAATGTAGTAACCAGCGTTGGAGAGCTCTCAGTGCAGCCTCCGACATGGCCTCCACCTCCTGAGCAGGCGAGGACGGTGATGCTGTAGTTGGTGTAGGGCAGCAGGTTGGTAACAGTACGGTTGAGCATGGACGTATTGGTGTGTGAGATGCGTGGATCAGGCATGCGGATCTCGTACCGCTCAACTTCTCCACTGGGTATGAGTGGAGCGGACCATGTAACCTGCAGTAAAACACAGGACACATTTGAACCTGTTCGTATCACTAAAGAATTTGACATCAGAGTCTAACAGTGTTCTTGTGGTCATGTAGTTATAAACTAAAATGGTTTCACAAGTGTGTCTAAGGCGACAGAGAAGGGCCAGAGTCCAGCGCAATATCACAACACATTATCTCAGGCTTTTAGATCGATGAGTTTGTGGAACCGACGTCATGTGATGAAGCGAAGGCACCCTGACTTTGACCCAAGACAGAATATTCCTTTCATTACATTTGAAAGAGGCCTCAGCCCCTGGAGATCATAATGAAATCCTAATGGAATTGCATAAAAATGCTGCTCGTTGCTGCTACATACTGCCTCTGGATCAAGGGAGGGACACATTAAACATATTGTGCATGTCTGATAAAAGTAATTTTGTGTTATTAAAAATAATTAATTTTATCCAATTTGTTTTATGTATTGTTATGCTTATTAGGAGTATCACGCCTGTTAGCTTAGCAACATATGCTAACTTTGTTGAACTCCACAGCCCATCGAGTCTCCCGTGCAAATCAGCTCCATGATGGTGGTGCATGCTGCCTTAGAAGGCAGCTGCCTATGTAGGAACAGCAGTAGGCAGCATGGCATCTCACTGAAATGAAATCATCAACGCTTGCTAACAAAGAGTTTGCCGTGAGCATCACAGAGACTGCTAGCATCTCAACAGGAATTTAATATAGCGTATGCTAATGTGAACAGTTGTTTTTTTGGCTTTTACATGTAGAAGCATTCTCATCCAATTACATACAAATGCAGCAGTTAACAAATTAATGAAATAATAATGGTGTTACAATACACTAAACCAGGGGTTAGGGGAAAATGAATAATTCAAGCAAGTTTATGCAAATACCGCCTTTGTTTGAAGTGGTAAGCATTTCTGTCCATGTTTCTTGGCACTAGCACACAACAAATAACAAAGAGAGAAAGAGAGGGGGTGCACAGGTGTATTTACACACTGCAGGATCTAAGCTGCAAAGCTTGTTTGGTTACATTAACGCCCCTTAAATCCAACCTGTAAACCAGCCAAAAGACTGCAAGCTACCTACCCCTCTTGAGTATCGTGTCTGTTGAATTACAGGGACGTCTATGCAGTTTGCCTTGAAACACTCAAATCTACTTTGTCAAAGTGTTAATAAGGTCTGGCATGCTTTGTGTATCTTACAGACACAAAATAAAGAAGCACAATCTTTAAAGTGTTAGCTAGATGACCAAGGGCACATTCATGAGGGGCTCCCACAATACTCTTGACAGTCTTAATTGGCTGTTCCTTAATGAACAGCTCTGAAATGACCTGGAAACCATGCGTATCAATGTTCTCATAGCATGAGGGTGTCACTGGAAAAATGATGGATGCTCTGGGTGTGGCATTAATGGGAAGAAATACAGTAGCTTCTTACTAACAATCACAACAAAGACCTCATTTGCACCTCATTGGTGAAAAGGCGGCATAAGGCACTACAGTCTGCTGACAGGAGGGTGGGACAGGATTGAGCGACACCCAAACATGTTCATTTAAACCTGAAACGCGTTCTTTACTTTAAGCAGCACAGAAATCAAAGTTAATTCAAAAGGTTAAAAATGACAATCTATTTTTAATTACCTACAGTACTATTCAACAGTTGGACTACTGTCCAAATCTGCTTTTATCAAAAACACAGTAAAAACAGTAATATTGTGAAATATTATTACAATTTGTCTACTGTTTTCTATTATTGTATTAATATATTTTAAAATATGACTTATTCCTGCAATTGCAAAGCTGAATTTTCAGCAGCCATTACTCCAGTCTTCAGCATCACATGATCCTTCAGAAATCATTCCAATATGCTGATTTGATGCTCAAGAAACATTTCTTATTATTATCAATGTTGAAAACAGTAAAAACTGAGATACATTTTTCCTTTTAAGATTATTTGATAAAAAGAAAGTTCAAATATCAGCATTTATTTGAAATAATTTATTTTGAACATTATAAATGTCTTTACTGTCACTTTTGATCAATTGAATGTGTCCTTTTAACCTTGTTATTGGACCTCAATGATAAACAATAATCAATATTATTTTGTAAAATATATGTTTGTTTTTTTTTGTAAATGGTTTCTCTAGCCTAAAGTACTGTATATGTCACTCTAATGTTCCTGGTTCACTTCGAATTGGGCATAATTAAAAAAATGCTACAGAGTCAGTTGTGAGTTCATTAATGGCTCTGAACAATTCTGTGACTGATTCAAACTACTATAACTTAACTAAGTTTGTGATCATTTTGTGAATATTTTTGATTGACAAATTAAAAATAACCATTTCAAAAGTTATTTTAAATTATGTCACACATTTTTATTTTTTGCAAACGTTTTACTCCTTTAACCCTTAAATGCATACCTTGGGTCTTTAGGGACCCGGGATGTCATTCACTAACCTCTCCCTCCTTCATTTTTTAAAGTTGAATGAAGCTTCTTAGTATTCCACAATCTATTGATTATAAACAATATAACAAGAAAAATAATAAAATATAAAAGAATGTCTGTTTTCTGATTAATTTTTTGTAAAAAGCGTGTAGGGTCGCTAGCGACCCGAGGTATGTAATAGTGTATGTAAAAGTATAATTTTCTGGTGCAACAATAATGAAATATCTGATGACTCAAAAAGTGCAATTCACCTTTATTCTTCAAGGTGGCACACTGTTTGATAGACAATGATGACGTGATGTTTATGTTTCACTCATAATTACTGCAGGCATAAAACAAAAGAATATCATCAAAAATTGGTTTGGATGGCTCTACTACAGAGCAATTACTGTAGGCAATGAAATATAAGTGTCACTGTCATTTGATGGTGGATGTGATGAATAAGCTGCCAGTGATCAAAGTATTGATTTTGAAGTCATTGAAAACAACAGTATTGAGAATATGGTTGAGATCGCGAATATGAGTCAGATGCTGAATGTACTGGGGAAGTGCGTTCTGACGATGACAGTGATGGTAAAATCATCTGATCAAATTGAACCCTTCTAAGTTTCAAAAGGTGACGAGATGTGTTTCATTTTTCTTCTTTTGTAATTGTTATTAAAATATCACGAGAGTTTTATCCTATTGCAGCAGTTAGAGATCCATCCGTGTTGGATATATAGGAATATGTAATAATGATTGGCGAAACATCCATGCATTTAAGGGTTAAGTAACACGCAAACCGACTTTCCATGTACCTGTACTGACTCTGGTCCCAAAACCAGCACATGAGGCGACTGCAGTCCTGCAGGTCTTGATGGTCTAGTGGTCACTTTCTCCCACTCACTGCTATTGGATCCACCCAGCCTTGTGTGCGCCACAATGCGGTACTCATAATTGGTCCAGGGGCTGAGTGTAGCAGAGCTGTCTAGGTAAGTGAGTGTCTGGTTGGGCTGCAGTGTGGCCACAGTAGAAATCTGTTGTGTGGCAGTGACTCTCCTCTCAATGGTGTAGCCGTCCAGTTCACCGTTGGCATGATGTGGTGGGGCCCAGGACAAGAGCACTGATGTGGGGGTGTCCGAGTAAAGCTGCGGGGCTGGGACGTCCTCTGGGGGGGCTGGAGGGGTGCGTATGGTGTGGGACTGAGAGGAAAGAGTGCAGCCGGCTGCTGTGCAGGCCTCCACCTCTATGGTATACTGCTGATAGGGTGCAAGTTGAGAAAGAGTGTGGCTGGTGCTGTTTCCTGGCACACAGACACTTAACTGGTGGTTTTGGTAGATGTTATAATGGGTGATGATGCCGTTGGGCTGGGATGGAGGAGACCAGGAGACAGAAGCACTTCTGGGTTGGATGTCAGAGAGTACAGGAGGGTCAACAGATCCAGGCCCTGAAGAAAGAAATTCATATTAAATAATTAACAATCAATGTACAATAATTAAAATGATTAAATTAGTTGTGAAACAATCATTATTTTTGCAGTTGTTGCTACTAGATGTGCATAAAACAAACACACACACACACTCGAAGGATGTAGTTTAGTAAATAAGATAAAAATTCTTATAATAAATGTTCTTATTATATTGTAAAGTAATAAAATCTTTATTTATGGATAAAACTGCTAAAAAAAAAACATTAAATGGTATAAAATAATAATTATTACTAATTATGATGGAATATTAATCACCGAAATTATGCTTATGGATTTATTATTGTATAAATTATTATTATTTTCAACAATAATCAATACATCTATAAAATCCATAAATATAACAACTATTTTAAAATGTAAAAATATTGTTAATAATATTATTATTGAATGCAATTAATATATAATATAATATAATATAATATAATATAATATAATAATTTTGAATGCATTACATTTACCAATAAACTTTTAAGATATATCATATATATCTCCATTTACCCATCTATCCATTCATTTATCCATCAATGCGTATATCTATATCTTAATATTGCAATTGATTTAGGCTTTAAATGATTTGAACCCAAGGACTGATGAGCCTGGTCAATCTCCATGATCTAGAGAGACACAGCTCCTCTCTGTCAGCACAGCATTGAAACTGACAGCACAAGGACACCGTCTGATTGAAGCAGCCTGATTCTCTGGATTAAAATGTAGAGCAGGCAGTGTGCAAATAAGCTCATTTGCCAAAGAGGACGGAGTCAGCCGCTGCATATCGCGCTTGCATTAAGCAAGTAGTGCATACACTTGTACCTGTTATGTATCTTTGTAAGTTATGAAAGCCCTCTTTTGAGCGAACCCCCCCGTTATAAAAAAAACAACAAGTGAGCTCCCCCAATGTCCACGGTATAGTTCGAACACTGATCACAAGCAAATATGAAATTATATTTATGGATTCATTCGTTGGGGTGATGTGGCTAAGGGATATCAGCGATGTGCGAGGTGAATCTCTGAAGGGTCCGTAGTGAATTGGAGGAAATCACTTAAGTTTCCAGTCCAGTCATTTTCTCTGAGTGGTTACAACAATAGCCATGGCAACACTAACATCAAGAAATCCTACATGGATCTTCAGGACCGGACAGCTCGGGCCATTTTCATAATTACACATCCACATATGTATATACCAAAACACATGCCAGCATCCCCATGCACTGCTTCCCTCTCTCATGTCTGATGGCTTGTGCCAGTATCTCCTTGGATATGACTGGTATAAAACAGTAAGAAGTTTTGAACTTAATTTAAATTAAACAGAATATTAAGTGATGTTTACAGGAACCTTCACACCACATGCTTTACACAGTGCTTGAAAAGTTTTTCTAAACTCCCAACCCTGATGGGAAAATAGAAATGTTGTCATCATTTACTCACCTACATGTTCTAAACCTTTGTAACATACTAAAGAACACAGAATATATTTTCAAGAATGTTTGGGTCTAAACAACATTGGATACCACTGACTTTCATTGTATACAAAAAATCTAAATCAAAATCAAAATCAAAACATCATCTTTTGTGCTGATGCATACTTAGCGTCATGACAATGGCAAATGCAGCATTTCATTTAAACACAGCCGCGGCCTAAAACCTAAGATTACCTGAACACCTTCTTTTGCTGCTTTGCAAGCACTGGCATTTCCTCCAGGAAATGCAAATTGAGAAAATACTGTTTTGATGATTTGTCTTTATTTGCTATGTGGAGCACTGCTATTGGGTTTCAGAATAATGCTGATCCAAAATGTCACATTGGTTTATCGTACTTTTTGTGCTCATTCTGTGAGGCCCGATATATGGATGCAGATTTACATTACAGTAATTTCCCATACCATTTTTCTGACAGAACTGTTAGGAAACTCCAGAAAAAAACTGAAGAATGATAAGTAAAAGAGCTTGAACATTTGGTAAAATGAAAGCAGTTAGAGGAATATATAAGATGTGGTAATTGAAGTGAAGTTGTTTTGTTGCGTTTTAAGCGTCTCCTGTCTGCTCTGTAGCCTGGGCTGTCTGATTAATATTTGGGCCCTATGAAAGCTCATTTGAAGGTAATGTTTTCCTCCTCCATTTACATTCCACGGTAGCACGGTAATGGCGTACCGGCAAGGGCGTGTGGATCAAGGTGACTGTCTCTCTCTCTGCCGTGCTGGGCTGCTGATGTCTCCCCACAGATGGCCCACTTTCCACCTCCCATCACCATCACCTCCCAACTGACTCACTATGCATAGAGCAGACATAACCGGCTACATGTATGCTTTCTCTCCCCAAAGCTCAGTGGCCACCACAACAAGCATCAAGATAATGACTTAAAAAAAAAAAAAAAGAACAAAAGGGACATGACAGAGAAGAAGCAAACAGATGCAGCAAATTCACTACACAGTTGCGCCACTTTTGAATGTTATTTATGCATAAAACCCTGCATCTTATTCACTAAGCACCCACAATCCACTTAACCAGATGCTAAACACACTAAAACAGCTCTGCAATGTAAATTAGACTCATTTGTGTACACTTCCATTTAAAAGTTTGGGGTCAGAAAGATTTTTTTTTGTTTTAAAGAAATTATTACTTGTATTGAGCAAGTGACAGCAAAAGTAAGTGTAAGAATCTTCTTTAAAAAATGTTACAAAATTCTAAAATCGATCCCAAATTTTGAATGGTAGTGAATATTTTCTATTCATCATGCCAAGCAGATATTTATCAAATGAATGAAATGGTGGAGAACAGTATAATATACTGTACATCCAGATGTTCAAGCTTTCAGCATTTTTAAGAGCAGATTCAGGTGTCTGGAATGAAGTGGAGTGATGAAGGAGTGATAAAGTATGCCAGATTGTGAAGTCTGCTGCATCTTCCATAGCAAAACATTCAGAACTGACCTGCTTGCACCATGAAAATTGTGTTCAGAACAGATTCTGTTCCATTAACTGCTCTGCATAATTTGTACACTAAAACAACACATTCAGTAGGTGCAAATTAACAGCCCTATGAGCCGGAGTTTGGTTATAAACCCAAGTGTGTTCAATATGTAGTACAAGTAAATGCACTACATTATCTAAATAAACTGACCTTTTTTAAATAGATCAGCTTTATCATAATAACTCTGATTACGGAATGACGTCAAAAATAAAGAGGTTTAATTCTCATTAGTCATCCCTAACCCTAACTCAAGCTTCATCCAAGCTTTCATCATCAAGCTTTCACTTCACACAGCCAGCCGCTGCTTATGATTCCAGCCCAGTTTTCTCCATTCATCTAGTAGCTGTTATTTTTGGGGGGAATTTTTTTACTGTGTCTGCGAATGGGCCCTGCCGATTTCGCTCCCTCTCCCTCCTGATAAATAAACAATGCACAGATTTGACCTTTGGGTTAACAGGTTTTTATGCTTGCTCCACTCAGCACTCTAACTGATTCAATTACCACAAAGGTTCAGGAGCGTCCATGAATACTGAAAAAGCTCACGGCTGCCACCGCGGCAAAACGCCTGCATAGGTGCTCGCCGGCAAATCCAATGTGGTTCTCAGGAGAAATTCCTTAATTGTAAATAATTTTACCACATGAGACAATCAAGTCACCTTGAACGCGAACCACCCCTCCTTACTTCATCCCCGGCCAGCCTCCCATCCTTGGCTCAGCCGCCCGGTCTTTCGGTCTGCAGAGGCAAAGTGTTATTTAAGCTTTACGGGTCTGCGTTAAATTCTGCAATTTGAAGGGCTGTTAAGTTTTTAAATTGAAACTTCATTTAAGATGCAGGTGCTTTTGATTTTATTGATGCTTTACTGCTCTCAGGGTACAAGCAAGAACACAGTGCAATAACAGCAGTCGGCCTCAATCAGGCATCGGCAACAGCTGTAATCTCAGGACATTTGGAATACTTAGAGAGGCCTTTCCTGGGCCACTATAAATCGCTACAGCAGAAGGGAAAACAAGAGCGCGGGCCGCCAAGCCTTAAATCACATTTATAAGGATTTGGTTAGCATAATAATAACACAATCAAGTGACAAGGCAAGGAGGGAGGGACCGGGGAACGTGAAGGAAAGAGAGGATTATTTTTAGCATTGTAGAGGTCCTTGTGACAATATGATAGCTTTGAAGGTTAGCGTGGCTGATGTCAGCTAGGACGGATGTCGGTATGCTACTTTCAAGAAGCCGTTTAGTGTAAAGAAGATTGAAAGGAAAAGGGAAAAAAAACTCTTTATGAAAGATTTCTTTTGGTTTTGAACTAATATTTGATGACGTCTACACTATCGTACAGTAACTTATTTCAAGGTGAACTGCACAGCAGTGGTTTTTCTACCCACAACATTTTTATAACTACAAATGGGGTGATAAATAAAGGAATAGTTCAACCAAAAATGAAAATTTGCTTAAAAATACTCACCCTCAGGCCATCAAAGATGTAGATAAGTTTGTTTCCTTATCAGAAACAAATTTGGAGAAATTTACCATTACATCACTTGTTTACCAATGGATCTTCTGCAGTGAATGGGTGTCGTCAGAATGTCCACAGAGGTGACAAAAGCACTGTAATATTTCAAACAACTCTAGTCTATTAATTAATGTCTTGTGGAGCGCAGAGCTGTGTGTTTTTAATAAACAAATCCATCATTAAGGAGTTTTAACTTTAAACCATTGCTTCTGGCCAAAATATAGTCCATAATCCATAAAAACACTTCCTCCAGTGAAAAAGTCTGTCCCCTGTTGTCCTCTCCCACCAAAACGTACAACATATTTGTTTAGAACTGCGTTGGACTGTTTTAGTTTGTAAATCTGTGCATATTTCTTTCCTGATTCAGACAAGAGACTTTTTTTCACTGCAGAAAACAATATTATGGCCAAAAGCGACCATGAAGTTAAAAACATCTTGATGAATTTGTTCCTTACAACATGCAGCTTTTCACTTCACAAGA